TATTTTAGATTTATACATATATATATATATATATATATATATAACTTTAAAACTTCAATTTACAACAAATAATTTAGTATGTTTTTAATTTCCAATAATAACAGCTAACTTCAAGACAGCTATAAATTCATAAATACACTTCTGATGGAAAACAGTGGCTTACAGTAATTTGTTTGTAATTGTCAACCTTAATAACTGAAGTTTCCAAGACTAGACTAACTAGACTAGACTAGACTAGGAGACGACTAGACTGGATAATGTTTAGGTTTGCAAGGCAAAAAAAACACATCCGCATGCAAAGCTTAATGTTGAGCCTTGCAAATAGTTATATATACAGTATATATACAGTGGGTACGGAAAGTATTCAGACCCCCTTAAATTTTTCACTCTTTGAATGCAAAGGCCCTTCATTGTGCCAAACGTCCTTTTTGCAATCTCGCTTGCGGGCATAAAAAGGCACTACTTTTCAACATACCTTCTAAGCTATATTGTTATACCATCATGCATAAATTAGGGCTCAATAAAGATTTTTCCTGCTGGATATGTACTAAAAAAAAAAAATCCACAAACATTTAGAAAGAATGTCTCTTTAAAAGCTGCCTGTGCGGTTGCTGAAACAAGATGTTGTCGAGTCATCCTGGTAAATGAATTCAGGTGCTCTCAACCTTGAAAAATGGACATATTCATTTGGGCTTTTTTGTGCTCTTGTGGTCGACACGTTCAATTAACTTGAATGCGGCCCAGCCTTGGGAGTCTATGAATGCTAACGCTAATGAATGGCTTGGATCTTTTCCTTTAGATCCCTGCCAATAAACATTCCATTAGCTTCATGTCCTTGAGACGCACATCGGAAAAACGGCATTGTTCCGTTCACCATCTCAGTCATCTCTTCAATGAAAGAGAAAATGGAAAGAAAGCAAAAGCTGCTCTGAATTCAGACTGTAAAGGATCCGCCATGATTCATCAGGGTCAAGAGAGGAAACGGCTTTTTAAAACACGGGAGCACAGGAAAAAAATATGAATTCTGTAGCAGTGATCGGGCTTATCTAATTTCGGAAAATGGGAGTAAGTCACACAAAACCTAAAGTATTCTCACACAAGCTTTAATAAAAGAGCCTGATGTTTGGGATTAAACCTGAGATTACAAAGCAAAACACAAGCAGCTGCACAGCTCGAGGCCAAACACTACACCAGAAACACTACCAGTGAAAGAAAGGATAGTTGATAATGAAACGATTAAACATCTGCCTCTGACTAACACACAAACTCAATATTAAAAGATCAGCTGGAATTCTTCTGTTTTAGATGAGACACAGGCCACGCCTCCTTAATGAAAGCTCAGGGATTCATAATTATTAGGTTGGTGTGACTAACCTCCCACTGATGTTATATTTTATGTGTTTTTAAATCATTATATATGAATACACTGTAAAATCAGTTGTATAGCACCAGTGCTAAAAGAGAAATCAAGTTTAAAGGGGCTGGACTGACCTTTGCGGATGCCGGCGTAGCTGCTGCTGAGGCCGTTCCTCTTCTTACGGTGGCGGTACAGCCAGATGCTGAAGACCATGAGGATGATCCAGCAGGCCGCGCCGATGCCCGCGATGAAGGCCGGCTGACGCACCACGTCTGAGATCTGCTGGGAAATCGTATTGTCATCGTCCAGCGGCGGCGGAAGAACGCGGCCTGACGAGTCTGAGAGAAAGATGATGAGAAATGAGATACAGATAGAGAAGTTCATCAAATATTTCATATAAACCATGTCACTGATGCAATAATTAGAGAAATATTTTAGATGAAATACACCTGTGGCAAGCTGTCAATTTCAGAAGAAATCATTTGTACATAATCCAGTTTGAAAAAAAAAATGCATTGACAATTAAAAATCAATAAATATAATATTAAAGCCAATTAATGTAATAGACATTTAAAAGATAATTGTATTGAATAAATAAAAAAGATATATAATAAATTAATAAATGCATAAATAAAAATCAATAAATAAACATTATATCATAAGACTATTTTTTGCATGTCACAGAACTTGTTTAACCCAACATATTCCTTTAAATGTGACCCTGGACCACAAAACCAGTCATAAGGGTCAATTTTGTAAAATATTTATTTGCTAATAATAATAATAATAATAGTAACGACAACAGCAGCAATAATAAATATTCACGTCAAAAATAACACTTGATATTATATAAAAAAAACATAATTCTACATAAAACAGCAACAGAAAAGAATAATGATAAAAAAAATGTATCTAAAGAATTTTGCTAAATACTGAATTTGAAGCGGAATAAGAATTGGAATAGACAGTAAAAAGTGAGTTCAGTGATTTATATATTATGTAAAAGATGAATTATGAATGACAAGATGCTATCTGGAAGAACTGCGACCAAAAAAGCATCTTCCCTTCTGTGCTCTCACTCTCGGTTGCCCTCTCTTATTTTTACATTAAAGAGAAACTAGTGCTGTCGACCCAGAAGAAATCTCATTCTGTTGACTTGCTTCTTTTTTTCATCTTTTCATGTTCGTTTCATGTGGGCGTCACTTTCATCTTTTTGACACTGTTCAGTTTTTGTCTTCTTTTCCAGCTGGGGGCAAACAGGTTCTCCCAAAACCTGAGCACCGTGCTGTATTCCCTGCTCTGTCTTTGTGACTCTGTCCTCTGTACTTCCTGTCTCAGAGGTTTTGTTTGTTGTTTGGTTGTTACTGAGGCTCCGCTGAGAGGCCAGGACAGGACAGGACAGGTGCGTTGGATGCGGAGATGCAAGAAAGCCCACGTTGTGACAAATGCTTTTGAGACCTGCGTCCTCTGCTTCCGGTGGCGGTGTAAGGCCACAGAAGCACACTCAGCAGGGGAATCAGCGGCAGTGAATGGAAGCAGATCAGTCACAGTGTTCAAGAGGAGCGGCGTGCATGCATCCCACACTGCACTTCAATGCAGGAGCAAACCGACTGCCTGAAATCTGCGCCTCTCCACTGTGGATCTGTATGTGAGGTTACAGTTCAAACCGGTGCTACCAAACATGTTTCAATGGGGGACAAGTACTGGTATTACCCAGAATGCAATATAATGCTACTCATTTCAACATATGAAAACAAAAGCAAGTAAAGTTGGGGTCGGTAAGATTTTTTAATTGTTTTTAAATTAAGTCTCTTATTCATGTATTTGATCGAAAATACAGTAAAACTAACAGTAATATTGTAAAATATTATTACAATTTAAAATAACTTTTCTATTTTAATACATTTTAAAATGTAATTTATTTATGTGATGCAAAAGCTGAATTTTCAGCATCATTACTCCAGTCTTCAGAGTCACATGATCCTTCAGAAATCATTCTAAGTCGATCATCTGTTTTTCTTTACTGTATGAGTCTCTCTTTGTGCATCCAACTGGGTTTCAAAATGCCATTTAATCTCTTTCTGTCAAATGACTGACTATAAACTAGTCTCTGACAGCACTGTGATTGGCATCTTATTAAAAACAGATTTGCATAACCGGATGGCCTATTATCCACCTGTATCCACTGGCACAACACCAGGCTGCATCACAATCACTTCCATTCAGTGCAGTTTTACAATTTAAAATAACTTTTCTATTTTAATACATTTTAAAATGTAATTTATTTATGTGATGCAAAAGCTGAATTTTCAGCATCATTACTCCAGTCTTCAGAGTCACATGATCCTTCAGAAATCATTCTAATATGCTGATTTACTGCTAAAAAAAACTCTTTTTTATTGTTATCAGTGTTAAAACAGTTGTGATGCTTAATATTTTTGTGGAAAATGTAAAAGAAAATCTTTTATTGACTTTTTATTCCTAGATTGTTAGATGAATAAAAAGTTCAAACAAATAGCATTTATTTGAAATAGAAATCTTTTGTAACAATGTAAGAGTTTTTACTGTTACTTTTGATCAATTAAATGTGTCCTTGCTGAATAAAAGTATCACTTTTTATTATAAAAGTTTTATTTTATATTATAAAAGTATTAATTTTAAGTATTAAAAACACTCATATCTTACTTTCAAAAGAGAGGTATTGAAACATTTGACAAATAATATGCTACAAAATTAGATTTTGTTTCTCATTTGTAAGTTGCTTGGAAAAATGCGAAAAATTACCATGATACTTTCTGATAACCAAGATAATTTATCTCATAATACCAAAGTTACTTTTTCAAATAGTGCACATTATTTTTACTTTTTGAGTAACAGATACAAAAACCTCTCCCTTGACCAAATAATGTGTACATTTATATATTGATCAATATAGTGATAACTATTAAAAACCAGCTCATTGTAAAATTGAGAACAATAAATACTTGATATATATATATATATATATTTTTTTTTTAAATAACTTTTTAACTATATATATATATATGTG